AAACTTCTCAAAAATATACCAAGGGAAAACTTTGATAGAAGTAATGAAATTAGTAAAACTGTACTATCAAATAAACCACAGAGATACATGTCAGAATCATTAAGATTCAATGGCATCAAAAGAGAATTTCAAAGAAGCCAGCATTAACATGATTCTAAACATGTATGATTTTTTTTCTTTTTTGGGGGGAAGGCTTCCTTGCAGCCCCAGCTGTCCTAGAACTCTTTATGTAGACTGGCCTCAATCTCACAGAGGTCCCCCTGGCTCTGCTTTCCAAGAGCTGGGACTAAAGACAAGCATCACCACATCCAGCTGTGATTTTTTTATCAGTTGAGTGAAAACCTGTCCTGAGAAAGACAGGAATACCTTGAACTCGCTTCTAAAATCGTGACATACAAATGTGTGCCTACAAATCCAGAACAGACTCATCAACTCAGAATGCTTGTTGTATTACTTGAGCTCCTGACTTTGACACTGACTGAAAAGCTCTCCTGGAAAATGCATCTTATCTCGGGCCTTTGCTACCTCCAGGTAGAGGGAGCAAATCTCCTTGATTTGGAAATGAGAGAATCAAGGCTAGGGGAAGTTAAGTGAGTCATCTGAGGTATTGTCTTCTAGATGGCACCATAAAACCTCTGACCCAGTCCCTCAGATAAGAGTTGCTGCTTTTATTTAAAAAGGAAGGAAGGAAGGAAGGAAGTTGCAGAGCACCATGCTAGGCTCTAAAGGAGTCTAAGAAGAATGTGACCCAGTTACTCCCTGTAAGAAGTTTATAAACATCCAAAACTCATGTAGGTGAAAAGACTATTTATTACTGAGAATAACACAAAACATTATTGCTCAAAAGAGAAGAATGAAGATGCTACTAGGTATGTATTTGAACTAAGTGATGGAAACCATGCACAGGGCCAGATTCAACCTGCTCGAGGAGGTTCTAAAATTCCTGTGCACTGTGCAGCCTACTCGAAGATCTATGCACAGGGCACAGTTAAACCTCATTTCAAATCTCGCTCCCTTAGAATTCCTCAGCCTTACAAAACTATAATGAGGATGTTAGAAACGTATTGTTGCCAATAGTGATAAATGTTTCTCCTTTATTGTTGCCTCTGAATTTCAATGATTATCAAGAAAATGAACTTACTTCGAGAGAGATTTTCAAGGGCTTTCCCCAGCTTCTTGCTCTCTTGAAGGATGTGGTTCAATTCATCAAAATCACGGCTTTCGGGTTTAGTCCGCCAGTCCCACTTAGGATGCTCTACTGACCTTGGCACTATGTTTAAAAGAAACGGTTATTTCATAAGCATGATGTACAATAATACAGATTCACTATTCATCTTATGTGAATGACTGCAAAGAGGTCAATGTACAGAATAAAAATGGTTAGGTTGGAGATGGTTTTCTTGTGAGTAAATAAGGGAGATTTAAAATCTGGTTGAAGGAAATATTTTAACACTGTAAATAAAAGGAAGTGTGGCAGCATTTCTGGAAAAGGGGAAATTCTGAAATTGATTTAAATCTTATGACTTCATCTGAAGGGGAAACAAACACAAGGGCAAAGTTTATTCTACATAATGCTATCAGCCTAAAATTAATGCCCTCTTCATCACCAATCAGCAAATATATTGAAGACACCCTCTTGTCATGTCTTCTAAAAAAGACAAAACTAAATGTATATACATACACCATCATTCCTCCTAAGTTACCACTAAAATTATGCTACAGTTAAGGAATATATTTTTTCCTCAAGAATAAATTGAACAAAGAGAAAAGAAGATATTAGGCAAGATTTTCTCCTTGAAAGATGAAAAGTAGACTGATGAATGGTAATGGGACTTAGCAAATAGAAGAAACTAAAACCCACTTTCCAAAGAGTAGATGCCAAGAGAGTAAACATTCTCTTCTTAAATATTAAATCATCTCCTCTGGAGAACAATGTCAAAGCAATGTGGATATAAGAACATAATGGTTTTCCAAATTTATAGGATCCACTAAAGATTTAGAAAAATTCAAGATCTATTATTTAAAAATTTTAAAGACTGTCAATAAAGAAAAGATTGTAAAAGATTTCAGGGATAAGAGTAAGAATCAAGCTGACAACAGACTTCTCGAGAGCACTATTTGTCCTTTAGAAGACATAGAAGAACAGAAGACAGGAGAACAACCCCTTCCAAGACTCCAACAGAAGGCTGTGTCCAACTCAGAATTCTACAGCATCTAAGGAACCAATTGAGATGCTTAACGTTCTCAAGCATTTCTCATATAACCATTCTTTCTAAGAAAGTGGTTAATGTGCTCCAGCACTATGAATTAATGAACCTAAATCATAAGACTTGGAAATCAGGAGCAAGGAAAGATGGTCACAAAAGGCAGCTGAGACGGTTTCTGCATTTAAGAATGGAGTAAGAAGGAGAGGGCTGCAGTAGGGGGGCTTCTAAGACCTCCTGAATGACATAAAAGAAGAGGAGAAGGGGGAATAGGAAGGAGAGGAAGCGGAGGAGGAGGGAGGGAGAAGAGCAAAATAAAGTAGCATAAGAGAAGCTATCCTTACTAGATGTGTTTCATCATATTGAGAAACTTAATCTTTGAGCATGCTTTGAGGAAACAGTAATGATGAACACACAAAAACCAAAGTAAATAGTGAAGAGAATATTATTTATTCTAGGAAAATAATAATTGTACAATCTCAGTGGTAAAATATCAATCAATGTAGTTATAAAAATATCGATGTAGAATACATCTTCTAATAAAATTTGAAGTAATTGCTTTACTCTACTGTCAGGATGTGATGGGAGGTGATGTGTTCATCACAATGTTTGAAGGTGGTCAACAGATTATGGCTCAAATTTTAAAAGTTAAAGAGCTGTGTTCATACCTTACATTTTCAGATATGTACACTAGGAAATTAAGGAAACTCTTGAGGGAGTTTAAAAAAAAAACTGTTTCAATTAGAGCTGGGGAGGGGGAAGATAATACTGTGTCATAGAGATTTTGCATAAGAAAGTCTCAGCTGAGGGAGCATATAAAATGATATTTATACCATAGTCTTCCAAACCTAGCTTGACACTTCTGTTAACCTGTTTTGAATAATTTCTTATCTGCAATCTCTAGCTCTGCATCTGTATCTAATTATTTCCTGAAAAATCATGTATCGTTAAGGTCTCCTCTTCCCTTTCAATCTAAAAAATAATAGAAAAAACCCTCAAATAGTTCAAGCCAGAATCTGCAGCTATCCACCAGATAGACCTATCGCCGATGCCAGGCTGGCAAGACCAGGTGTGGCCAGCAGAAGACCTGGTTTGTCAAGACCAAATCATGAGAAACTATAAACCTATTTTAAGTCATTGATGTTATACACAGCACAAGAGACTTCATTCAACTATAAATATCTTTTCTCAGCAACTTTCTAGAGAAACTAAAATCATTTCCTCTTTAGATCTGTAGCCCATGATGATTCAAACATGTATGGTACATGATGTACAGAAATAAAATTCAGAACAACCAAGGCGACTGTGGGATTGTGAGCTGGTAGTTAGCTGTGCTGATAGTTTCAAAAGCTGTTTTGATAAATAATAGAAGGCAGGTTTGAAGGCCTTTGGTCTAGCATTCATGCTTTGAATGAGAACATCTCTATAGTTTACTAATCTATTGAAAGCTTACTTAGGCTGTACTTGACATTAGAACTCAAAGCTATTGTTAAAGTACATCTTAGAAAGTTTCCTCAGAAGAAATGGAAAAGAGCAGAACAGTGTCCCAACATAATATGAGCTAGGGGAGATGAAGACAAACTTTGAGGATGCTAAGGCAAAACTAGCCAAGTGCCTGAGGCTAGCTACAACACCTCCCAAGTGAACCTTCCTCATTTTTCCATAAGGAGGATGCTGTGCCACAGAGCAGCCAATTGCATACTAAATCAGGGGTGAATTTTGAACATAAGGGGTGTTCCTTTTATTGGGCATATCCGAACCTCACTTGACCAACATCAGTTGTTTCTGTCCAGAGAAGTTTAAAAAAAAATTATGGTTTTCCTTTAAGACTTTTTAGACAAGTTTTATCCATTTCTTTTAAGCAGAAATCAGAACTCTGTGTCACTGATGAGGTTGTAAAACTGCACGATCTCTGAAGAGAAGATCCAGATTATTGGTCAGCGGGACTACTGCCATCCTTACCCAGACCACATTTGTAAATGAAACAACACAAAATTATACATGTTATGGAGTGCCACATGGTTTTTCATACATGTATATACTGTGTATGCCGAAATCAAGGTGAAAATGAGGTGTCTCCTAATTTTATTATTTCTTTTCCTCCAAATTCCTGGTTTAATAAGTACTTGCTTATTTTGAGAAAATAGGTCCCAAATATCAGATGTTCACAAAAATAACCCACAGTATGAAGACTTACACAGTATTTTCTTAGAAGATAAGTTTGGCATGCCAATCTCATTCACAAAAATACATGGTTACATTTGTGTTTGCACAACCTGGTTCATGTGAGGGAAAACACACGCCTAACTCAAAGCTGCTTTCAGGGTTAAAACTAAATGAAATCACTTTTGCAGTTAGGGAAGCAAATACCGAAATCATATAGCAACGTAAAGAACTGTACTCCCTGTATAACTAGAGATTGTTTTGGAGACAATTGATAAATCCGTACACCTTTTTATTAAGTCATAATGAAGTATCAAAATTAAAGGCAAAATTAGAGGGTAAGACAGAAAAACATCTCAAGGAGCATCAAAGGAGGTGGACATGTAATTAGGTGCAGGGGAATTGCGAATTGATAATAAACACAGGGAGCACAAGGAGAGAGAGAACAGTGAGAATGTGTAGAAGAAATAGAGAACAGGATCTGGTATAATTTTGATCTCTGCCAAGCACCTAGCTAAAGAAATAATGGGATAAGATTTCCAAACCCCACTATGTGCTTAAGAGCCATCCTCACACTGGCTGTTATGCTCTCCTTCCTCAGCCTCTTTTTCATCATTCTTGATAACTCCAGCTGGTCATCCCCTCGATCTTCATTAGGATCATCATCCAGCATGTCCCCTTCCTCAGCAGTCATCAGCACCTGCCTCAGACTGCATCTTCACATCAGTCTCAACCTCCTTTACAGAGGTGCTGCTCTGCTCATCTTCGGCCTTTTCATTACCTTTACTGCTTGCTTACTTTGTTCTTTTTCCATTTTTTTTTCCAGGATTTGCAGTAGAGAATCTTTTTGTTTTATCTGAATCAGTTCCTTCTTAACAGCCTGAAGGTCGTTCCCGTTCAACTTTCCAAACTTGGAAGAAGATTTTTCATTGTCCACTCTTAATTCTAAGAAGTTGCTTTTGCCCCTCTGTAAGGTGTTTGGTATTTAGAGGGCACCACAGCACAAGAAATATGAGTGGAGAAGGAACACGTGCCGGGTACTTGTACATCCTGTCATAATAATCTCCTTGAAAATTGTGTCCATGTCAAATGAGGACCTGAGTGGAGAGGACAGAGAAGAATATTCTGGAACTGCCCCTTCCATCTCCACTGCAGATCTTTTCCTTGGTTCACTCTTAGCTCTGCAGACAAATTAGTAACTAAAACCTGACCAGCGATCTCTCTGCTGTCCTCTTCTGCTACAGCAGCCTGAGCACTTGTCCCATTAACATACTGGGTGAAGACAACGTCTGCACAGAGCAACCTAGAGTTCTGCCATATGTTGAGACGATTGCCTCCACGTCAGACTGCTTGACCACAAGAGTGTTGAGTCCCATTGAACACACAGGAGTTCATGGAGCGAAGATCTGTCTTGTTGGTAACGTTGTCATTTTCTTCGATGACAAGGCTCCTTACAAAGCTGGAAAATGTAGCTGAAGATCAATAAAACCTCCCAAGAGTGAGGAGAGAGAGAAGACTTTGGCTCTCCTACCCCCATGTTCTGAGCCGAGACACGGAAGCTGCAGGAGGCTGCTAGAACGTGACCCTTCAAACTTCACCCATTTGTTATTGGTGAGAACGTTCAGGTCCTTTCTTCAAGCATTCTGAAATACATGTTCCGTTGTCACCTACGGTGGCTCTACTGTCTAGTAGCACACCATGGCGTCTGGTTCCTCACTGGAAGTTAGTGCACAAGGACAGAACCCTCCATGTCGTTTGAACCAAAGTAATTTCAAATATTTATAGATTTCAACTTGGTTTTCTGAAATGATATCTGTTAATTGTTCCTAACTGAAAGTTTTCGTCTGTATTGTGTTTTCATTTTAAGTACTCCAGGCAGTCCCACGCACTGCAAGGACTTACT